GGTGATACGATCCGACTGAATGCACGGGAAGAGACGGGAGGAGAATTAATACTTAAAATCAGTGACGGGAACCAAACGAAAACAGATTCGCTATTGATTACTGGCGATATTTTTTCCTCGGGTATCTCTCTTTAGAAATAAGTGGCTTGAAATGTGTTGTACATAAAAGTACACAATTAATAATAGTAGTACAAATAACATTACACAGCAAAAATCGACGGAAGACAAAATATAATTCGGAATTTAGTGTCTTCTTCTTACTATTATTCCATTTGTATTTAATTATTTAATATTATATACATATGTGCTGCGCACAATGGCCAGCTAATTATGTATAAGCGCATGATCGTAGCTGTGGAGCGTTTATGGAGCTCAGAGCGCAGCTACAAAGCGCAAAGAACACACAAAAAAACAAAGTAAAAACTACAAAAAAACGAATAAGGATCATGATCTTCATGATCGAAATCACTAAAATGACTCACCTATTCATTACTTGATAAGCAGGTGCTGTATTTATGCCGCATGACGAACAGTGACGACTGATTATTTAAGTGATAGCGATCCTGAAATATTATAACATTAATCTGTGATTTGGTGTTCCGGGAGACAACTCGATGACGAGTGACTTCCATACATCGGCTACGGTCGAGAGAGAAGCTGTTGGGTTAGACTACATTCTGCGTGCACTCGACAGCTTTCGACACTACTACCGGCATCTTTCGTAAGAGGGAGTGACGGCGCGTCAGAACAGCCGTCTGTCACGTAGATCGAAATCGACAGACGACGATAAAAACATGCCCGTTGGATATGATTGTCGCGTGTATTTTCTCCGCGGAAAGCCGTCCGAGAAACTGTCGGCGAAATTGGCGACACGTACCTGTCACCTCTTTGTCAACGTTGATAGAATAAGCACCGTGCGTGCGTGCGTGCGTGCGTGTGCGTATACATGGACGTGCGTGCGCGCTAGTGACGATGACCGAGTGCGTTGGTGCGTTGAGGTCGCGATGAAATAGAGAAAAGGAGGAAGAAATGGTATCGAAAAGGTATTCTTAACGATGTAAAGACGAACGCCTTCTATTCTGTTAACCAGATCATTCAGCAAATAGTTTTTCCGCGTACCTCTCATTTCAACGGGATATTTCAAACGAGAGGCATGTACGCACGAGAAAGCCCGCCTACTGTTCCATCCCGTGATACGGGGCGAACCTCCTGGCTCTGCCTTGCTCGTCTATCGGTAGCCTGACGACGATGGCGTGCCATCATTACTGTACGTCCTGATGTGTGTACGAGACGCCACTTCCATGCTCACCCTGCCACCCAGCATGAATCGTCAATACGCACCGAGAGGAGCGCCTAGCCGCTGGCCGCCTTTATCTGAGACAGTTAACAGCAACAGCGACGTGTTTGCAGAGTAGCGCAATTAAGCAAGCAGGGAGAATCGCTGCTATTTTGTATCACTCATCCAATGAAACAAGTTGACTCTGCACGCGAAGCTAGTGCGATCATCGCGGCACGCGACGAATATGCGGTGAATTATTCATCTAAGTGGCATGTCGGACGTGTTACGCTGCAATGAAACGAACATGTCGGTGCGCGCGTACAGCTCTGTGAGAAAGTGGCGTCTTAGAATTCTGTAAAGGCGGATTGCCAACGTGTGTATTTATGTGTGATGGGGGATGTGTGGATGCGTGCGCGCGTGTCAATGTACGATAACCGCGCGTATGTTCGTGCGCACGATTATTATTAAATATAATCGTAAACGTAAATTTTACGGTACGCATAAATAAATTCGCTCGCATACACGCGCACGCAGACGTGCGCGCGCGCGCGAGCACACGCGTGCACAGTTCACACCATTGTCTGCGTGTGTGTTGTCACTGGCACCACCACTCAGCTGTATGCACGCAGCTGCCTGATGCATACTAAGGCCGCCCCTGCGTCACAACTCGATCTCGCGTCCCCCATGCAGCGCTGTATACTCGCGCGCAAACTACATATCCTGAACGAACACCTACAAGTAAGTGAAATCATTATTAGGCCTGATTACAAGTCGGCTAGATTTCCGCAAGTTATCAAAATGTTTTGACAAAGCGCAGACGGACAGATAGAGGCGCGAAGCCTTGTAAGCGACTCTCCGCTTACATGCCCAGAAGCCAGTCAATGGCCAGCCACCTGCCGAGATAATAAAATAACATATAATAACACGGCAATATGTGTGGAAATTTCTTGTCATCCAATTATGACGACGATGGCAGATAATCGGACGTTGTTGACGAGGTAATCCGACAAGCTGTGTTAGGAGGCAGGTGCATGTTTGTTTGAGTGCTGTTATATAGTGCTATATGAGTTATATATATATATATATATATATATATATATATATATATGTGTGTGTGTGTGTGTGTGTGTGTGTGTGTGTGTGTGTGTGTGTGTGTGTGTGTGTGTGTGTGTGTGTGTATGTGTGTGTGCGCGCCTGTGTGTGTTGTGTGTGTTTATATGTACATGCGCTTGTGGCGGACGTGCGCAACGATGCTGTAAAATTAACTTCATTCATTCGACTTAGTCATTCGATCCCTAAAGCATGTTTGATTTGTCAGAGGTCAGTGCCATCACTGAAAGCAGACTCTTATATAACCGTACAAAATATCAAGAGCTCATAATAGAGAGCTCATATAAGAGCTCTCTATTATGAGCTCTTGAAAATATGTTACGATAAAGCGGTGAGCACGTATATAAACCCCGTATTATTATTTTGCTAGCCGATTTGTGTGCGAAACTGCTGGGATTAACTAACTTCGAATTTTCGTAAAATTACTAACCACAATGCTACGATTAAAAAAGATAAAATAAAATATTCTAGAAATTTACTTTCCTCGTATTTTATTTTAGAAATCACATTTAAAGAAGCGGTGAGATTAAAAAGCGCAAAATTATATGCACATAATTATGATATATTACATGTTCGTCGAGAAAAAATTTTCCATCCGTAAATGCTTTTTTTTACAGAGCATTTCCTTCTGGCCTCATTATAGTGAACGAGGGAGATTTATTATTCAGTTATCTGCCTGTACGATGATTGACTAAGCATATGAGAAAACATATAACGTCAATAAACATTTATGAATTGTATAAACGAAAACTGCGTAAATACCGGTAAACTCATAAACATTTGTTTTCATATATTATATATATAATATAAGGTAGTATATCGATATTATTTATGAACACGCTTCGGCTATCAGAACTGATAAGGTTGGAAACGAAAGCCCAGGTTATTACGCCGGATTTTACAACGTCGTGAAATATTATGTTGCAAATTGTTTCTTATGTGTTTCCATAGATGACAACAGTACATATATTACAGACGACTCATCAACATTCATTTTCACAAATTTCGTGATTCCGTAATTATAATATGTGTGTACAGAAGCGTCAGCAGTTCTCGTTGATACATATCAGCTACACGCGTCGATCGATTAGGGATTAAGGGACTACGCGGGAAAGTTATCAACTCGTGGGCAATACAGACTGTGAGAAGTCGGTGAAGTGTGGGTAGCAGGTTATCTACCCCAGCAAGCTGTACTGCGGGCTTGCGTGCAGTACCTACCACACACGTCGCCGACGAGAAACAGAAGCAAATGGACGCAAATATAGAATAAATCGTTAACGGCTGATTTTTCTCCAGCCGATTTCCACTTCGATTTTTATCACTAGAAAAATTAAATGCCACGATTATATAAGCGCGGCTATGGGGCTGTAACACGACGAGCGGCTTACCGTGCATGGGATCTCCTGCGCATTCATTCTTCTCGTTTGCGATTAGCGAATTGCACACGTTTACAGAGTCGTTAGCGGCTGGAGCGTTGACGTGGGTTCGCATGACAAGCACCCCTCATCACAGCGTGAGAGATACGACTATCATGTCACGCTGCAACGTGACAAGCCGCTTGAGCGAGAAAGAGTTCGAGTTAGTTGCTGCGGTATGCATAGCGGGTGCGCGGGAACGAACGGAGAATGCAGCGGCATTTCGCTCGCGTTATATTAGCTGATATAGACGCACCAGACAAAAATACGATGCACTGCATTTTGATCGTAGCGTGCGGGATAGGGAAGACAAAATCAAAACAGAACGAAAATGTTATCGTTATCAATATTTATCGAATATATAATTTACAACATATAGACCTTTTACATACTGGGCTTTCACATGTAACAACGACAAAGTTGATTATACATTATGTACAATTTCGGCAAGCTTTACATTTCATCACGCATTCTTTTCTAGAATTGCCATTCCATATTTACAATTAGCCTGTTATTATATAATCATAAATTTTCGAAAAAACCGCTAAGTTTTCACAGTCGGGCAATAAATTTTATGTACACGTATGTATTATATTAACACACGACATTACACAGTACTTATTGTTGGCAAAATGACTCTCTCTCTCTCTCTCTCACGATTAAATTTAAGCCGCTACAATATTAAATACATGCGAGACACACTTGTCCTTGTACCTGAGAGTAAACCTCAGTAGCGAGTACATATATACGTATATTATATGCCCTAGATTTATTTCTATAGAATTTCCTATCCGGGTACGGTGTATCAAAAGCCGACTGTCTGTCTCTACACACATACACACATACACACATACACACATACTCGTACACGCGTAGCAACGAGCACGGTGAGAATCAACCGTGTCCCGTAATTACGAATGCTTATCTAAACAACGTAAATTGGTTGTATGTAAGCAGAGCAGCGTAAATATATATATATATATATATATATATATATCGACTCTCGCTTATAATTTCCGCGTACGCGTTCACTGCGCGCTCGCGTCGTTACGCATGCATGTCACAGCAGTAATCAACATAATCAGTTCGTTGGTTAGAGTTTACTATATATATATATATATATATATATATACATACATATATATATAGTAGATATATATATACATATGTATATATAGATATATATAGCTATATATACGCACACGTATATATAAATAATATGTCTGCATATAATTACATATATGTAGCTTGCCGATGTCTGAGCGGAAGAGAGCGTCTTTCTGTCCGGGTATACCACACCATCATGTGTAGCACTTGTCTCCCCTTCTCTCTCCCTCTCCCTCTCTCTCTCGCTTCTCTCGTCTCACAAATCAATTGCACGCGAATGATCGTATCGTCGCTGCTGCACGAGTGTTTCTGGTCCTGTATTTACAAACACCTGAGATGAGGTCCCGGCGGCGCAGCGCCCGCATAGCGGGGAAGGGGTCAGCGGTGACGTCACGGCCGGTGACCGCCGCGCGGGGGTCAGCGCCACATGGACACGGGCACGCCCGTACCGATCGCTGGTCCGACTCTGTCCATCATGCGGCCGTGCTTGTCGGCGGCGTCGGCATGCTGCCCAAGCAGCTGCCGATATTTCTCGAAATCGACGGCGGCCGGATTCGGAAGAAACTGTCGGTACTTCTCCAGCTCGACCGCACTCAGTCCGGCGGCGCTCGCCAGCGCCAGCTGGCGGTACTGCTCGAAGTCGGCCGGCGACAGGCCGAGCAGGTTGCCGGCGGCGAGCTGTCGGTGGTATTTCTCGACGTCGGCCGCCGTGACGCCGGCTAGCGGCATGGCCGCCGTGAAGGCAGAGTTAGCGCCGCGACCGTGCAGCAGCTGCTGCAGCTGCGCCGGACTGCTGTCGTGGTTGCCGATGATGTTGTCGATGCTGAACACGGCGCCGGGCGGACGCGCTGACGGCGACGGCTTGCACACGGCCGACGGCATCGACGACACGCCCGTGTTGTAGGCGAGCGGGTTCAGCGTGCTCCTGTCCAGCTCGCCTCGCGTCATCAGCTGCACGGGCGTCGGCATCGGCGACATGTACGGGTAGGGCAGGCCGGCGTGCGGGTGGTGTCCGTGCAGGAACTGATGACCGTAGGGCGACGTCGCCGCCATGAAGGCCGTCGGCTGGCGCATCAGGTCGGGCTGCGTGCGCTTGTATCGCTTGCGGCGTCGCAGGAAGCTGCCGTTGTCGAACATGTCCTCGCTGGCCGGGTCGAGCGTCCAGTAGTTGCCCTTGCCCGGGTTTCCTGGCTCGCGCGGGATCTTCACGAAGCAGTCGTTCAGCGACAGGTTGTGTCGGATGCTGTTCTGCCACGCCGGGAACTTCTCGCGGTAGAACGGGAAGCGGTTCATGATGAAATCGCAGATGCCGGACAGCGTCAGCTTCTTCGACGGAGACTGCAGGATCGACATGGTGATGAGTGCGATGTACGAGTAGGGCGGCTTCACCGTGTTACCCTTCGCCTTCTGCTCCCCGTTGCCGCCCTCGTCGTCGCCGCCCTCCTCTCGATTCTCCTTCCCGCTGTCCGCCTCCGACTCGACCTTGAAGCTCGTCATCTCGCCGTCGGAACCCTCCTCGGCGTGTCGCATCGCGTCGCAGTTGTCGCTATCCAGGTCGCCGACGAACGCGTCGTCGTCGTCGGCGACGTCGTCGTCATCGTCGTCGTCGACGTTCACCGGCGTCTCGCTTCTCTTCGGGCACGGCAGCAGCAGCAGCGCGTGTTCGTGGCCGACGACGCGACCGTCGCTGGCGACGTCGCTGGTCGGCGACGGGTCGTCGGTGGCGGCTCCGTCCGGCGGGGCGGCGGCCGACATAAGATGCTTGAAGCCATTGTTCGAGTTGTGGAAGCTGATCTCTTCCGCCGTGCAGGGCATCCTCATCGGTAGCATGGCGGCGCTGTCAGCGGCGTCGTCGTCGTCGTCGCACATCAAGCAGCGACGCGCTCAGGCGTGCATGAACGACGGCGACCGGGCGGTGTTCGTGCGCGCTCTCCGTCTGTCAGCTTTACAGAGCTAGCGGCCGGTAACGTGCGACACGCGCAATCACCAATCGCAAGTCCGCGTCAGCGCGCCGCAGTCACACACACAGACACACACACACACACACACACACACACACACACAGACAGACACAAACAAACACCCACACACACACGCGTACAGAATAGGTAGTACGCTCGGCGACCGCAGAACAGATAAATCGTCCTCGGTTCTCTCTCTCTCTTTCTGTCCTTCTTTCTGCGAGGCAGCTGAAGCGATGTCGTGTACAGTCCGCGCGCAGCTGCCAAACGCTGCAACTCTAATATTACAGACGGAATACGGTGCAAACTGTGAACTGTTTTTTGCCCGACGTTCGGTAGCGACACGGCAATGTGTTGTGCGGCAGGTCGCCGTGGCTGGAAACGCAGTCTAGCTGGCGGTATGGTCTCGCAGTCCCGTAATAAACACCAAACGATAGCATAAACACGGGCGCGAGCCAATGAGCGCGCGTCGACACGCCCCCACGTCAATCAATACTTGCCTCGCTTTCTGTGCGGGTTTATCGCTGGTGGCAGCGGTGTGAGTGTGTGTGTGTGTGTGAGAGAGAGAGAGAGAGAGAGAGAGAGAGAGAGAAGGCGAGAGATGGAGAGAGAGAGAGGCAGGAGAGAGTATTTATGTGTATTAAACACGAACAGCGATGCGTTTAAACATAAAGGCACCCTGACGGCGCGATACTTAGCTACACCGCCTCCCATTGTCACCCTGACGGCGCGATACTTAGCTACACCGCCTCCCATTGTCACCCTGCCGTTGTCCGTTTAATATCCCGCTACGCGCTTAAGCTTGTCTTACACTGGTGGCAGCAGCAATGGTAGCGGTGGTGGGTGAGGGCGCTGGTGGCGTTCACACTCTATCCTGTCTATATCCTGGTATCATAATATATGAACGAGGTTAATGTTTCCGCGTGATGAGCTACGATAAGCGTGCCACGAACACCAGAAGCTATTCAAGTCATTGCTTATGTACGTCACGGGGGGAACAACGTGCTGAAATTGATGCAGATACACAGATAGTCATCAACGTCGCTAATTGTCAACCGAGCGCATGTGTTCAGCACACGCACATGCATGCACACATGCAAACAAACAAACAAACAAACAAACAAACACACAGGCAAACAGACGCACGAAAGGTGTATATATTTATTTAGCATACCGCGCGAGTTTACGAAGAGTAAAGCTCACAGAATCCCGTGGCGGGCATGCACCAGCTGTACGCCAGCGTACCTACGCCTCTTCTTATATTTCTCTCGTCATCAACTGAACCGGAAATATGTGCGCAGTATCACTGCACAGCCGCACGCGTGACGCGCACAACGCGGGCCCGCTTGCCGCCTGCACAAATACTATGTGTACTCTTCAATTCGCCGACAAAAAATCCATTGTAGTATTTTGTCTTTGTATAACAACAACAACAGGCGCATGACGCGATACCACACATGGCGTATTTATTGTCGTAACTAATAATTATTTTGTTATAATAATAATAATAATAATAATAATAATAGTTATTATTATTATTATTGTCTATGGGGGTTGTAAGAACTGTGTAAATATTTACGCCTTCAAATAGATAGAAACTGACCCGCGCATAAGAGTGTACTGCGCAGTTACCCATGTCGTGTAAGCAGACTGGAGAAGCATGACGAGTGATGTGACCGCACATTAGCACATCAGTCAATAACATCGCCATCACAGCGTCAACCCAGCTCTATGTACCATAGAGTACCGTAAAGACTGAGTGCGCCTTCTAGACATAGCGATAGAAATCAAGCATGGAATCATGTCATATATCAAATCAAAATATTGCGATGAAATTTATTTTATTAGTCATGCCAGAGTGACCAAAAGGATCAATGTGTACGTCTGCGAGTTGGATATTTTTATTGAGAAAAAAAGATATTATGAAAGTATATTATTCACGCAAATGATAACAATAACAAATTCTCCATACGCTGTAATATGTTTTCTACTTTTATCGGTTGCATTCGTTAAAATAATAAACATTATGAAACTGAATTTTTTTTTTACAAATTTGTTTGATATTGACGACGACATTGCAATATGATTGGGAGATGACGTCACTATTACAATATCAGCTGGTGATGACATTGTTAAAGGCATACTAGGCCCATTGATTATGCAATGTTGACGAATGCTAGAGTAACTTGCACCTTGTGTAGTTAATGGTAAGTAAGTAGTAAGTATAGTAAGTACATAACCTTGCATCCAAACGCGTGTTAGTTTGTCCAATATCACTGCTGGTTACTAAGAAATGTCTAATTGAAATCCGCAGTCTAAGAAATCAGTTGTTTACTGTTTCAAACCGCTGCCGGCGAAGCGGGTGTGATACAGATTTATATAGTGCACCGGACATTTTCACACGCATGCTCGGCCGTACGCAATGCTATCATCAGCGATTTCGTAAACATGGACGCTCGTGATAAGGAACTTTTTGTCAGGGCTGTCCATGTGCGTCCGTGATTAGTATGTGTTTTACTCCATTTCCATGTTTAGTCCGTGGCCGTGGTTACACCGCTGACACCTCCATTTCATCTGGCGTCCAAAACATACGGGCCGCATAAATGTTTACGTCATCACTTGACTCCTAGATGACTTTTACATTCAATAAATATAATATTTTTGATATATATTTTAAATATATATTTTAATGAACATCAACAACCGATCTCAAGTCTTGCTTGTAATGTAACCAGTAGTGATATTGGACAAACTAATACGCGTTTGGCTATAAGGTTATGTACTTATTAACTACACAAGATGCCAGTTACTCTAGCATTCGTCACCATTGCATAATCAATGGGCCTAGTATGCCCTTAATATAACGCTGAATGACGAATTCAATGTTGTGACGTCATCATTCATTGCTGTAACTTTTAACATTGTTATACGTTAGGTGACAATGTCATTGTTATAACGCTAGGTGACAACGTCATTGTCATAACGTTAGGTGACAACGTCCTTGTTATAACGTAAGGTGACAATGTCATTGTTATAACGTTAGGTGACAACGTCATTGTTATAACGTTAGGTGACAATGTCATTGTTATAACGTTAGGTGACAACGTCTTGATCCATCATACGTCTACGGTCACAATGTCAATTGATTAATAACGTCTAGGATGACCAACGTCATTGTTATAACGTTAGGTGACAATGTCATTGTTGTGACATCAGCTGATGACGCGCTGCAGCTCTATAAATCTTCCGCTATGTAAAAGATGCACACGGCCACTGCGCACGGCAGGGTCAGTATAATATACAGGCAGCTACAAACGACGTAGGAGCAGCCCAGCTACTGTAACGCGCCGTCCGCATGCGATAATCATGGGATCAACGCAGTCGCTCGCCGTGTTAGTACACAGTTGCTGTAGTGTAGTGCAGTGTAGTGCAGTGTAGTGCAGTATAGTGCAGTGTAGTGCAGTGCAGTGTAGTGTAGTGTAGTGCAGTGTAGTGCAGTGTAGTGCAGTGTAGTGTAGTGTAGTGCGGTGTAGTGCAGTGTAGTGCAGTGTAGTGCAGTGTAGTGCAGTGTAGTGCAGTGTAGTGCAGTGTAGACAGGTGCTTATTTATCGACGTGAACCCTTCGTGAGACAATGCAAACGCAAACGTCAGCGATAATGGACGCCAATTCATAATTCCCGATCCACTAAGTTACCTCGATTTTATTCTTTCTCGGCGACCGAAACGACAGGCGAAAAAGTAATTAGAAACAATAACCAGGTGTTAGTAATTACGTCCACGTATTTGCGTTTTATTGGCTACCGACTTGCGTATCAAACAGCAGACGGGGGTCAACGGCGTTTATACAAGTCGCGTATAAAAAACACACGCATGCACGCACGCACGCACGCACGCACGCACGCGCGCGCTTGCGGAATGCGCTGCTGACGATTTCCTAATGTTTTCCCACAGCGATTTTTACATTGTGATTCGCATAGGAAACTAAAGTGAGTGAGAGAGAGAGACATCATTGCGGTAGCGCTACTGCTCGTGGTGCTGTGGGGAGAGGCGCTGTCGTCGTCGTAGCCATCGCTGACTTGAATAACCGATACAGAGCGTCCCTGTCCAGGTTACGCCCTGTAACGAACACAGAAGTAGAGGTATTCAGTACGCGCCTTTCACAGATAAGTAGTTCAGCCACATGCCGCTAGAGGCGCGCGCGAGTCGCTAAGAGGCGCGTTTCTTCGCCTACATTATTGCGCATGCAGCGCATGTGTAAATGTAGGCCTATACGAGGAAACATGGAGACCTCATCCAGACGACATCGATTTAAAAAAAAATCGGCACTGGGTCATGACGAAAAGACTCAAAGACAAAATTCTACAACGATGCACGCATAATACTATAGTCTTCATCGTTTCTTCCGTCTCATCGTAGCCTAATCTTTCCATCGGCCTACACGTTTGCTTCATGCACGCACGCGTGTGTGTGTGTGTATGGGGGCCCGTGCGCGCATGCGTGTCCGCGTGCGTACGCGTGCGGGTGGATTCATGGCTGCGCGTGCTTTCTCGTGCGCGTGCGTGCACGGCTAAACACACATGCGAATTAGGCACGGTCAACAACAACAACAACAGCAGCGCGGTGCCAGTTCTCTCGCGCAAGGTCGCCCCGCCGCAGCACGCAAGTGTGTGGGTGAAACACGAGGCTGCTGCTAGCTAGGGGACGCGCTGCCGAGCGGCGGCGGCCCGCAGCAGCAGCAGTAGCGTAGCAGCAGCGATACAATTAGCTGAAGCCGCTTAGGTAGCGGTGTCGGTCGGCGGTGGCGGTGTGTGGTGACACAACGCCGCGCGCCGCCAACACAAATAACAGCAGATACGATTTTTCCTACACCCGCCGCGACCCGCTATCGCTGCTGCGCGCTCTACCCTGCTAGCGCCGATAGCGACCCGGGGCGTGCGCACACGTGACCGGGGCCGAGGTCTCCCGATGTTCTCGTGCGATGCGCGCGCACGCTACGTGGCGCTGTTGTTGTTGTTGTTGTTGTTGTTGTTGGTGGTGGTGGTGGTGGTGGTGGTGGTGCTGCTAATACTGCTGTTGCTGCTGTTTTTGATATTTATACTGCTGCTGATACTGATATTGTTACTGCTGCTGTTGTTGCTGCTACTACTGCTGCTGCTACTACTGCTGCTGCTACTACTGCTGCTGCTGTTGTTGCTGCTACTACTGCTGCTGCTGCTGTTGTTTTTGTTGTTGCTGTTGCTACTGTTGCTGCTGCTACTACTACTGCTGCTTTTGCTGCTGCCGACTTCATCCGTGAGCTCGGTCGATCGCACGATAGCCATGTGCTCGCCGGTGAGGTTGCGTCAGGGAGCTCCCCTCCCTCTCCCTCTCCCTTTGCAGACCTATCTCCCCCGCGTCCGGCTGACCCCCGCATCCCCGCAGCTCTCACATGCAGCAGCATCAGCGCAACTCTTTACAACTCCTTACGCGCGGCGATTGATGAGTCGTGCTATCAGCGAGCGCAGCCTTTACTGCTTCGATGCGCGTGTACGTGCGTGTATGCGCGTGTATGCGCGTGTACGTGCGTGTATGCGCGTGTACGTGCGTGTATGCGCGTGTACGTGCGTGTACGTGCGTGTACGTGCGTGTACGCGCGTGTACGTGCGTGTATGCGCGTGTACATGCGTGTATGCACGTGTATGCGCGTGTACGTGCGTGTATACGCGTTTACGTGCGTGTACGTGCGTGTATGCGCGTGTACGTGCGTGTACGTGCGTGTACGTGCGTGTACGTGCGTGTACGTGCGTGTATGCGCGTGTACGTGCGTGTACGCGCGTGTATGCGCGTGTAGGTGCGTGTACGTGCGTGTACGTGCGTGTACGCGCGTGTACATGCGTGTACGTGCGTGTATGCGCGTGTACGTGCGTGTGATGACCACGCGCGGCAAAGATAATACAAGCGATGACGTAACGATACAGATGCAGACAGGTTTACCAACAAGAACCGCCCTCTATCGGACAGTCGTTAAAATAGTAGTCGAAGCTACAAGCTAGGCATAATCACGGAGTTATGTTAATTTGTAATTAGTGCTGATTGCTATTTGGGCGCCACCAGGTGCGCGGCTAGAAGAATCCGTGCACGAAAGAGATATCTGTGTCTGAAACATGAATCGCGCAGATCTCTCGAGCGCGATTGGCTCACAACCTGTTACGTCACCGTTTATTATTCGATTGCCGCGTCACGTCGCGTAGATACACGTCTGTGGATATCGCATGAATGTTTCCGTGAGCGCATTACACAGGGACGGACGTGTGTGTGTGTGTGTGTGTGTGTGTGTGTGTGTGTGTGTGTGTGTGTGGGTGGATGTTGGTTGTGTAATGTATGTGTGGGTAGTGGTGTGTGGTGGTGTGGGTGTGGTGGGGGTGTGTGAGGTGAATGAGTGTGTATGGTGTGGGCGTGCTGCTGCGATGTGTGTGTGGTGTGTGTTAGAGGCGTTGTGTAGTGGTGTGGTGTGTGTGTGTGCGTGTTGTGTGTGGTGTGTCCAGTGATTGTTGCGCGCGCAGCGCCGCCGCGCGTGGCGTGGTGTGTAAGTGTGTGTAGTGTCAGTGCAGTGTGTAGTTGCCTGTGGTGTGGGTGTATGCTGTATAGTGTGTGTGTAGTGTTGGTGTGGAAGATGATAACATAATATAATGTAGCGCGAGCAGGTTGCAGCCACGGCCGATAAGCGCTAGCCATGTGGGAGTGTGTGTGTAGGCGTGTGGTAGTGAATGTGAGTGTAGTGGTGTGAGTGGTGATGATCACTCAAGTCGAATCCGATTCAGAATGTGACGAGCTACACAGATCGCCTTCATAGCTAAAACACGTGTACTGGAATTCTCGCATCTATTAGCAGTGAAAATATTACGGGTCGGGCGAACATTAACTAGAAATACGATCATACTGTAGATGTCTCACAACTAGCCCGGCGAACCGCCCAATATTGCAAATATTTACGATTCAGTTTGCTCAGCCTATTTTCATGCGCTGCACACCCAAAATATACACGAACAACAAGCAAAAAGACAATCGCGCTTAACGCATAGAAACACAATACAACATTACGTTATCGAAAATCGCGCCATAAGATCACAGGCCGACCAAGAAGTTGCGCTCTCCCTTTCTCCTCTGCGCAACACACCTCCCCACCCACTGTCGATCTCCCAGCACGCAACCGAACCTGCCTCGCGCTGCAGCTGACACGCGTGCGCTGCGCGTCGTGCGATGCGTGTACACTTGGTACGTGTGACAGAGCGAGAGAAAGAAACAATGTTAATAAGTACAAGAACAGCCACTAAAACGCGGAACACAGAGCTAGAGAAAAGGTAGACGCGAGAGAGGGAGAAACGAGAAACAGCATGGAAAAGAAAGAGGGGGCGAAAAGAGAGGGAGAGAAAAGGAGGGGCGAAAGAGGGCCAAAGAGAGAAGGGCGCGCGCGACGAGCAGACACGAAGGATCACAGAGAGAGAGAGAGAGAGAGAGAACGCGAGAGTAGGAGGGGGCGAAAAGCAGAGAGCGAGAGATAGAGAGCAATAGGGGAAGGAAACTGTCAATAGAAATAATAATAGTATATACTACTAATAGATATAATATATATGTTCAATTAATAAAGATGGAAACGTGTGTGTGCGCGGGAAGAGCGGCGCCGCCTAGACACGGGTCGCCAGAGCAGGGTAGCGTAAACAAAATCCGATGGCGGGCTGACGAGAGCGCGACACCACGCTGCTGCCGATCACCAAGCGCCAGCGATGACAACCCGAGACGCCATCTCCGTAATAGAGTAGGCCCGGCGACAAGGCCAGCAGCAGCGCCCGATCCTCGTACATCCCGTCATCTCATCTTCACCGATCACGACGAGCTCCAGAATGACGTCGCATTTCTTAAAGACGCAAGAAACATTGTTTTAAATAGGCCGACTGTCGATGGATACGGTACTCCGGCCGCACCGGATGCTGAAACCTACGTTCGCTCTAGTAACGCGAAGAAAGCAATAAGAACGATACCGATGCATTGTGCTATAAACGTAACACACACCGAACACGTACCTAATCGACCACGCACCCGGCGCCACCACACATGTATGCTGAATAGCGACTTCAATGTTCAATACGAAAAATTAAACCGCTGCCATGCTAACTAAAACGGCATATTCGGTGCACATGCAGTGGCAGTAGAGACTATAACTACTACAACAATATCGCAGCATTTCAGTTATTCATATCAGTAGAGATAGTAGAGATATATATAGTACATATACATAAGTTAGTCCAGAGCAAGCTAATATATATAATATATAGATATACTCGCTATATATATATATATATATATATACATACCTACCACAACTATAATATACACGCAAACTACCAGAAGGCTTGAAAATACATGGCAAGGGGTTCATCGAAGTTTTCCGTAGCTGCTTAACTCTGATACAGAATTGCATACAGATCTCTAATGTGGCTGAGCGAAGATGACGACGCGTTGGAGAAGAAGAACCCCCGTGAGGAAGTATACGGTTGATGCAGTAGGAGAACTCCGCAGCTGCTCTACAGCGACGTGCAGTGACGAGAGGCGGTGGATTAACGACGACGGGCCTAACCATACCACGCTAAGCGCGCTCACCCTGCGACGCTATTAGCAACGTTTTAAATGTTTTCTAAATGTTTTCTTTGCATGGGATATTGAGGCGGCATTTCTTTTCGTGCGTGTCCGCTCGGTAGTGCCAGCAACAGACGCCTGTGTGCATGCTTGTGTTGTGTGTTAGGCACGGTCGTAGATATCATTGACAAGCTAGTGGCCTGAACTATTTCCGCCGTTCCTAATGTATACACATACACATACACGCGCGCACACACGCACAGAGACACACATAGAAATGTTTGCTTGTCATATATTAGATATAGAGAGCATGGCTAACGCATGACAGTATTTCCGGCTCAGCGTTGATAGATTTACAAGACATCTCTCTAGATTACCTATATATTATGTAGTTATTCTGTGGGCAAATTATCAAGTAAACAATTCAATCCAAGCAATAGCTAGCCTAATATACACCTATATACTGACTTAAAGGTGTGCACGAAATGTAAATGGGCGCAAAT